TGGAGAGCTTTCTTCCTATCCCCACTACCGAGTATAAAAATTCGTAAATATGACTTTTTTTCTGTATGATAACCACGCAAGGGGAAGGCCTTAATATGTTCTATTTTATAGATGTTTATCGTATTATTAAGAATTTCATCTATTTTTATCCTAAACTCATTTACAGTTTTATTATTGGGTACAAGTATATCAAAGAAAATCTGGATTCCCGTAAAAGTAACTACCGCTTTTTGGCCATTGATAAGAGAGCCGTAAAGACGTAAAACATAATGATTTTTTTCACCTATTTTTTCTGATGTTCCCTCAAAATCAATAGCCATAAAAGGGATTTCTTCTCATTTAGCCAAAGCATTATTAAGAATTGCAGATAAACCCTCATCATTTTCTATAACTATATTATCACGAGTTGGAAATCCTGTTAAATAACTTTCACCAGAATATTGGATAAGTTGGCCTTTTTTTGTTTTTTCATTTTCCAAAATCTGTGATTGAGGGAAAGCTTTGGCCTCCGGTGGTAGAAGGCCCTGTTATTTTCTTCCTCTATCTCTGGCTTGAAATTTTCTGAGTTTTTTGAGCTCTTTGGTCAATAAGGTAGTGCTTCTAATTCTGCTAGCATGTAATCGATGTTTTCTTGGAAATATTGGGTACTCATAATAAGTATATTTTACTGCTAGTATATTATTCCAGAAAAAAAAGTTCAAAATGAAAATTTATTCTAAAGAATAGTTATTAGTAGATAATAATTATTATATTAAAAATCATATAAATATGGCATTTTATCGTTGCCCTTATATTCTTAGGACTGGAAAAGTTTACAATCGAGGTTGCTATAGGTCTAAAGGGTATAAAGTTCACTGGAATTCTCTATCACATGTATTCTGTAAAAAATGTGGTAAGTTGACCTATTCTGGTTATGACTATTGTGATACTCATGCAGATAAATATCGAAGACAGGATCGATATCAGCAGAAGAAGCTAGAGAAGATGGTGCATAATGGTATTGTAAAAAATACATAGTATGAAGGTATATGTTGGGGTCTTGTCCAGGTTGACTAGGTAAATTTTTCTTGAACGAATTTCCTAGATGAAAAAAGATAGCTAAATGATGTTTTTGAGTCAAAAGAAAAGGTTTTAAACTAGCCGTCCAAGTTGTCTAGGTTGTCTAGGTAAATTTTCGATCTTCTTACTTTTATATTTTTTATCTATGTGTATAGAACGTATATTATAGATATATCTTATATATATATATTATGTTTATATCAGAAGTAGGTATACGTAATATATATATCAAAGATATACTATATATATATCGTATATGTACTAAAGATATGTATATAGTATATGTCATATATGTACTAAAGATATATATATATATAATATATACTATAGAAAAGAGTTTGATATTTTTCTTAGAATTCCATTTTTTATCTAGACATCTTAGACGAAAATAGAACAAGTATAGAAAAACAAGTTAAAACAAAATCTAACCTTTTTCTTCTATAACATTATCCATCCAAGTTAATAAATTTTTACCTAGATGAAACCTGGATGGATTTTTTTCTCGGACACGATTAGATCCATTTTAAACGCATTCTGGGATAGTGAACATGAATGATTACATTTTGATAGCATAACTGAGTATACAAGCTATCACCCATCAAAGCGACCAAGTGTGATGATGTGAATATAAAATTATTATTATATTTTTTATAGATCGTGAGGTATCTAAGTGTGACGATGTGAACACAAATTCGTTGTCATATTTTTTATAGATCATGGGTACCTAAGTGTGATGACAAACTCGTGAACCAATCATCACTCAAATGACAACACAAGTGTGAATCGTTCGTCACTCAAATGATAAAGTGAATACTAATATATCTCTGATGATGCAAGCGCGAATCGTTCGTCACTCGAATGACGGAGCAAATACTAATATATCTCTGACAACGCAAGCACGAATCATTCATCATTCGAATGATGATGCGAACATTAATATATCTCTGACGATGCAATCACAAATTATTCGTCATTTGAGTGACAACGCAAACATGAATCGATCGTCATTCCTATAAGTAGGTAACAACCTAATGTAAGTAGGTAACATTATATATATAATGTTACCTACTACAGATTTCTAAAAAAAATGTCTAATTAAAAAAAAAGTAATAGTTTAATTATATAATAAAATATACTATATTATTAACAAAACAAAACTATAGCATTAGTATAGGTTGAATTAATAAATAACAGATATATATTGAAAGACAAATTTTCTAATATGTACTTATTATTTTACTATGGATTTGCCAAATAACTATAGTATATTAATAGCATATTGGTAGCATATAGATTAAATATTAAAAGGTAGATCAATAATAGTAATATAATAGTAATATACTAGAATATTTTAGTATCTTACTCTTAGTCCAAATAGTGCTAAGTGTAAAATACCAGGATATTTTGAAATGTTATTACCATATAGCCGTGTAATAACGCTCACGGGCGTTATTTTGAAAATTGGGTCCCCAAAAATAGCATATATGATTTCAAATTAACGCCCATGGGCGTCCCGAATTAACGCGCACCTTACACTAAAAATTATATATTATGCATATAACAGTACAATATGACTTAAATCACAAACTAAATATGTACCTAGTACGTACCCGGGTATCTATACATTAAAAATTTTTTATTTTAACTACCATTCGCTCATACAAATCTTTTAAGATTTAATTAAACTTAT